CCCAAAAAAAGAAATAATAATACATATACTTGTATGTATGTGTATGGGTGTGCATATTTTATATATATATATATATACTGTATATATATATATATATATTTATATATACATACACATTTTTTGGGAGTGGGGTAGGAATAATGGCTTATGTTAATGTGAGATAATTTGTTGAGTTAAATGTTTGTTGTCTCGTGATAAAAAGTTAAATAAATAAAAAAAACAATAAAATCAAAGGTTTAGTATTTTGTGAAGGAATGCCAAATAATAAAAGAAAACTAATGACTGACTATAACGATAATTAGTTTCAAAATAATGTCCAGAAAATATGTTTTTTTTTATTTTTTTATATGGCCTTGCTTCTATATAAAGTTTTATGGAAACCATTTTTTTCCACAATCATTTTAGGATTTGTGAAGGGTGGGGTGCGGATTTGACATTTGCTTGTTTTTAAAGATTAACCAGAAACGGATCAACCCTACTATTTTTTGTCAGTATCAAGGATGTTTTTTTTTTATTTTTACTATTTGTTAATTTATTATACACTTTCCCTACATAGGCTCCTTTAAAATACATCAACAGTCCAGCATGGAGGTAATCTTACCTTATCTTTCAATTTAAAAATACTTCCACTGAATTGTTGAAATGGTTTGAGTTTCCCTTCACATTCAGACAGCGACAAGGAGAGTTTGAACCGAGTGGCCTCAAGAAGATCCAGCTTTAGAGTGCACTAAGGTAACAAAATAGCATTAGAGAACACTTGAGAAAATCTAATTCATGATTAATATAAAGAAACCATCAGCTCTCCACTCTATGCACAGGCTGTACATTACCTCGTCATGTAGCTCTTCAGTGTCCTCCAGGTTCTTCTGGTTTGAAAAAGATGGATTTTCAGTGTAGGTTTTCATCAGTTTTTCTATTCCTACAATAAAACTCCGACATTAGTATGAAAAAAATGAACACTGTTACTTAAATAGATGGATTTTTTTTTTTTTAAGGAAACTTGCCTTCACGATCTTTTTTAGTTTTTGCAATGCTGTCCTGAAGACGCTTGAGTTTAAGCATGATCGCGTCTCTTCTTCTGTCTCTGCTCATCAGTGATTTGCTGTCTTCTTCCTAAAAATGCATAAAATTCATTTGAATTGAATTCAGTTTATTTATAAATCACCAAGCCACAACAGAAGTCATCTAAGGGCACTGAACAGAAACATTCATATATAAAATAATAATTTAACATTTGTCTGAGGAGTAGACTACTTTGAATCTAACTCCATCACAGAACTCTCGTCTTGAGCAAGCATGAAGGCGACAGTGGAAAGGAAAAACTCCCTCATGAGGAAGAAACCTTTAGCAGAACCAGGACAAGGGGCCATCTCCTTCGACCAGCTGAGTTAGGTAGGAACAGATACACAATGGCAGGTCAAGAATCACATAAAGATAGAAATAGTATCAAATGAACACTTTTCAGTTTTAGCAATTCATTATAAGAAATGAGGTCAACTTGTCCTCCAGTAGTCTAAGCCTATTGCAGCATAACAAGTCAACCCTAAATATAGGATTTATCAACAAGGAAAGTCTTAATCCCAGTTTTAAAACTGGACAATGTGTCAGCCTCATGGGCAGAATCTGGAAGTTGGTTCCACAAGAGAGGAGCCTGATAACTGAAAGATCTTCTTCCCATTCTGCTTTTGGAAACTCTAGGAACCACAAGTAAGCCTGCAGTCTGAGAGTGAAGTGCTCTGTTAGGAAAATATGGAACAACAAGATCGCAAATATAAGATGGAGCTAGGTTGTTGAGAGCTTTGTAGGTTAGAAGTAAGATTTTGAATTCAATTCTGGACTTGACAGGGAGCCAGTTGAGAGAAGCTAAAACTGGAGAGATATGATCTCGCCTACTAACTCCAGTTAAGACTCTGGCAGCAGCATTTTGGATCAACTGAAGATGTTTTAAAGAAGTATTTGGACACCCAGATAGTAAACAATTGCAGTAGTCCAGTCTAGACGTGACAAATCTAAAAAGGAGCAAATGAAAAAAAAAAACACTTCCATGTCTGCCATGGGTCTTCTGTAAAATAAACCAGTGATTGTGAGCATGTTATGGTGAGGATTTTACACTTTTGTCACTGTGATTACATTGCTCAGTACATTTGTCTGTAGACTTATTACATTTTTACAAAATTTTGTAAGCTTCTTCGAAATTACCACCATATTTAAACCAGAAACTCTTATTTCTCAAGGAGTTGCTACATTGTGTAAAAAAAAATAAAATAGCAACCGAATGTAATAACTTGCTAAAGTTATAAACCCATATTTTATTCATAACTGAACAAAAATAACCAGCACAGTTTTGGGTTTGTGCTTCAATCAAACAAGGACTCCTGCAGAGATGAGAAGATTCATCTTCGAAGGGAGGAACGCGATGACATCTGCCTGCAGAAAGACCTCCTTTCAAACTATAACAGATTTTCAGAACCAGAGAAAGAAAAGAGACTCACAAAATAATCAGTCATCAAAAACTCCACTGTGTTATCTTCAGCTGCAGCACTGTTTTCATCTACCAGGGTTTGTATGTCTTTTTCCATATCCACCCTTTGGACTGCCTGCTCGATCTGTTTTTGACCCTGAAAGGAGCAGAAGTAACCACAACCTTGATCATGTTCTTTAGGAACATCACTGTGTCCCCTGTAAGGAGGATGGAAGGCCGAAGTTCTTACGTGGTTAAGAGCTTGTCCAGAGCTGGACATGTGGAGGTTATATCTGCTCAAAATATTACACAGAACTTCAAGTCGCTGTTTCTCCAGCTCCTGCACGATCTGAAAAAAGCAGAAAACAACGAGTAGAGCATTAATTCCAATCAGTTCCTGTTCACCTTCACCTGTAAAAGAGAGACGTTACATTTCTCTCGTTACTTCAAGATCCTGCGCCCTTGAGGCAACAGGTCTTGTTCAGCCACTAAAAATCCACTTTTGATAAGAGAGCCAGCTGAAAGATCACAACTCTCCCCCACCTGATAGCAGTTTTTCAATGTGTTTTCGCACTTGAGTCTCATCTGATGACCCTCCATGTTGATGCTGAAGTACTCCTCGTCCACCCGTGCCTGCTGCTCTGCTGACTTGGTCAATCTGTTAAACATCTGGAGGCAAGAACAGGAAGAAAAGAAAAAGCAATCATTTCAGATTTTCTACAAAGGATTCTTTTCAAAAGCAGCCTTCAAAGGATTCAACCCCAAAACTGGGACACGGCTCATGTATGAGGTGATAAAAATAGTTTAACACCAACGTTTTGTACCTTTTGCTTTTCCTTTTCAGTGCTGATGTGCTTGTTGTTTTCAACATAGTTGAGCAGGGCCTCGTGTTCTCTTGTTAGCCCGGACAGCTTCTTTTTTAGCTGTACAGAAAACACAGAAATTACATAACCTGTTTTCAGTTGAAGACACTGATAATGATTTGATCAAAGTCCTGTAAGTGCATTCAGAATGTTATGTTGAGTGAAACATGCTGGATCAGATTTAAAGTAGATCGGTTGCATTCTCGTAAGTTTTTTTTTATTTTGGTAACGTGCCTTTTTTCCATGATGGTCATAGGTATTTGTTAGTACAATATGTAAGTAATGTATGCAAATCCTACTTCTTTTATATTAAGAATGAGCTGTAAACATGAGAACGCTATGATGGCTGTACTACCTGTAGCAAAGTTTTGTAATGAGAGAATCAAAAATTGATAAAATGATAAACTGTTGAGCAAAGTTAAGTCAGGTCCTCTGGCCGGTTTCTTTTTGTTGAAACGTTTCGTCTTTCATCCAGAAGACTTCATCAGTCCGAGGAGCTGCAACAAACGCAGTCTTATAAATAGCACCTTCACATAATGGGTCAACCTGTTTGATACCGCTTTATTTATAGAGCACTTAAAACAGCAACAAGGCCAACCAAAGGTGGTGATAAGATGGTTTCTGGAGTCTGCCCTCTCCCCTGCTGACTCGTTTGAGGCAGTCATGGCCAAAGTGGTTCAATACATCCCGATTCATCAGTGAGTCAGGATATAAACTGTGTTGTGACAATTAATTCAATTCCATTCAAAATACTTTATTAATCCCAAAGGGAAATTAAATGTTGTAACTCATTATCCTCGTTTCATTAAGAGATGTTATAGATGCTGATGGCTGTAGGCAGGAAGGATCTCTTGTAAAGGTCCGTCCCACAGTGGATCCGAAGAAACTGGCCGCAGATGCCGTCCGATCCGTCCATCCAGACTCGGCTGGCCTCTCAGTTCCTCCAGGCTGCAGGACTGCCTGAATGCCGGGCTGAACTCCCAGAGTGATGGCCACTCTTCCCAGCAGCCTGCAGAGCCCCTCGTCGCTGCAGCCAGCCAGCTGCAGGTGTCGGGGGACGATCCCGGTCCTTCCGCTGTCACGAGCTATGTTTCTTGCTAGTTCCAGGATCTCAGTGGTTAGCACTCGAGTACAGTAGGCAGGTAGAAGAGAATGCATCTACGGTGCCTCCTTTTCAACTCGTTCGAGACTTGTGGCTGTAGTTGAGATATTATTTGAGCTTTGAGATGTTAATCAGCTGCTCCCAGTTGTAAAAAACAAAAAACAAAACTTGTTGCCATGGTTACGTATCATAATAAATGTCCAAAAGTAAAAAAAAGTTTCAGTAAAAATCCTTCTAGCTGCACAACATCTGATACCAGAGGAAACAATCATCACAAAAAATGTGATTTAAATCCAGAAAAAGAGGAATTAAAGTTTCCAACAGAAATATCTCTGAATGAAGTAACAGAGCTGCTCCAACATGCAGCCACCCCGAGCGGCGCAATTCTACAACTAATTGTTCTAAACTAACGGTTTTTATGTTAAAAATGATGACATTAAAGTATATAATAAGCATCCCCAAAATGTATTAACAATAAAACAATTCCAAGAGGTACTCACTATGAAGCTGACTAAAAATGAATCTTTACTTTTGATAGATTTTAAACAACTGTCAATAGGTCTGTAAAGGTTTTTATTGAGAAAGTAAATGATGCTTTTAGTCCACTTAGTTTATGAAAAAATGGTTTTTGAATACTTTTAACAAAAAGGGGTAACTTAACTCGGCGCTAAATGCCACATAGTCCGTTTATGGCTGCATATTGTTATTGTTATACTGTTATCGAGGAATAACAGTTGTCATTTAGGAAGTTTGAAACCAAAACAAAAATAAGCTGCCTATCTGATTTATGATAATATGCAGAACAACTGAGCTGTAAATGTATTATTTTTTGTCCGATTTGTCATTTTAAATTTTTCATTTAACTCTTGCCTGATGCCTCTTGTGTTTCTGACCGGCTGACATCATGAAGAGCTCCATAACAGCGACCAAATTGTATGTAGCCGATTCTTATCTTTGTCTTTGTTTACAATATAAATATTTTCTTCTTTCGGTTAAAGAAAGGTCTCTTACCTTAAGTTGCTCATTCCAGTTAGCACTGAAGCGTTTTCCATTTCTTTCAATGGCACTGTCAAGCTATCAATAGACATAGAGGATCAGAGAAATCGTAAGAATCTTCAGTTAAATTTAAATCAAATCAGAATACAATATTGAGTAAATATAAACCTATTTGTAACCACAGTGGAACATAGTAAACATTAAATATTTAATAAAATGTGCAATTTTTTTGGAGAAAATTTTGGTGGATTTTATTGCAGCAACACATCTAAAAATATAGAGACATGCAGGCAACACAATGTGATAAAAGTTGGTGGTATAAATAAGAAACAACTAAAGGAACATTTTAATTGACAACAGGTCAGTAAGAAGACTTGGAATAAAAATAGTAGGAACATTGAGCAGACTTTGAATCTTTCATCATCTGTGATTTTTATCATCCAAAGATTAAAATAAATATTGGCAAAATGTCTGTGTGCAAAAGACACGGGCTGAAAGTCAACACTGAATGTCTGGAGTCTGAGCGCTCAGTCAGCATTGCATAAAAAAAGCTCTGATTCTGTAATGGACATCAGGAACATTTCAACAAATCTGTAAACAGTTCATTGTGCCCTACACGGATCCTGGTCAATGCTCTATCATGCAATAAATACTTGTAAGTAAATAATAAGAGCCAAATGTTAATGCCATACATTCCCTTCTTCTCTGGACCAAAGTTCATTCAGAAGTGACTGAGGAAACGAGGAAAAACTGCTCTGTTGTCAAACAAATCAATATAAAATGTTATATATTTTTTTTAAAGTAAAATGATAAATGGACTGTATGCTGCCTTTCTATCTTATCAAAATGCTCAAAGTGCTTTACAGCACAAACTGTGCCCTCATTTACCCATTCATACAGCACTAAAGCTAATCTGAATCTGTGGAGACTAATCAGTGCTTTAATCACATTCATACACCGATGGGACACACACGGGAGGCAATGTGGGGTTCAGTGTCTTGCCCAGGGACACTTCAGGCTGCAGAGCATTAAGTGTAGAACTGTGTAGACTGAGGAACAGCTTCTACCCTGAAGCTGTTAGACTCATAAATCCCTAACCAGGTTAATAGAAGTAAAAAAAAAAAAAAGAGAGAGAGAGAGAGAGAAATCACTGTAATGCCACTTTAATTGGTGATATGTGACTTATCTGTGCTGATGATTATCCATGCTGCTGATCTCATGCTGCTGTATTCATTCATACCCATCTGCTCACCATAGACTCATGTTCGGGCTGCTGTTGTTACCTCCTATTGCTTTACATTATAAGTTGGTATAGATCGTTTAGCGTACCATGTGGTGTTTGTTTAGCGTATATCTTAGATCCTTATTTACTATTCTTTTTATACTTTATATGTATTTTACTGGGCAGCACGGTGGCACAACTGATAGAGCTGCTGCCTCTCAGCGAGCAGGTCCCCGGTTCAAATCCCAGTCTGGTGGCCTTTCTGGGTGGAGCTTGCATGTTCTCTCCGTGCATGCGTGGGTTTTCTCCGGGTACTCCAGTTTCCTCCCACAGACCAAAAACATGCATGTTAGGCTGATTGGTAACTCAATTGTGTGAGTTGTGAGTGAGAGAGTGAATGGTTGTTTGTCTCGTTTGTCTCTATGTGTCCCTGTGATGGACTTGCGACCTGTCCAGGGTGTACCCCGCCCCTCGCACAGTGATTGCTGGACATGGGCACTGGCGACACCCGTGACCCAAAATGAAAGAAGCGGGTAAAAGATAATGGATGGATGGATGTATTTTGCTATTTTGGGGAGTAACTGGGACCCTGCGTACACAATATCGTTCCACCTCATGTAAAGTACCACATGTTGGAAACGACAATAAAGTTGACTTGACTTGAACTTAAACTTCAGCATGTGACTGCTGGTGGAATCAAACCACCAACTCTCCCATTGGAGGACGACTGCTCTAACCACTCAGCCACAGTTGCCCCTTAAATACGCACATCACATCCTTGGTAGTGAAGAGGTGAGGGAGCACCAGCCTTTTGTGAGCAGCTTCGGATTTTATCAGTCCATTAAAGGGCCGTTATTAGTTGTTATCATCCCCATATGTAGCGGTCAAACTGTCCCACCTACCTCCTAGTAGGTTTAACGGTACGGTATTATCATTATTATTGCTGATATTAGGCAGCGTCGCATGGGGGTAAACCAGGAAGTGTCTTTTTTGTTTTTTTTTCCAGCTTATGTAACCCTTTTCCTAAACCTAACCTTACACCTGACCCAGAGGACCAACCCTAAACTTAACCCCCTTACCCTTGTGCCTAAACCAAACCAAGACCCTAAACCTAACCAAGACCCTAAACCTAACCGCCAGACCCTTTACTCTAAACCTAACCACGTGAAGCTCTTATGAGCACTAACAAAGCTAAAAACAGAGCCTATTATCATTGCTAACAACGTACCTTTAAACCCACTAGGAGGTACAGGAGGGGCAGTCTGACCGCTACATATGGAGACAATAACAACTAATAACGGCCATTTAATGGCTGATAGCATCCAAAGCAGGTGCTTTTGTCAGCACACAATATAAAGCCTGCCTCTCTGATGGTATGAGGGTGCATTATTTACTTTGACATGGGCAGATTACACATATGATGCCTTCAATGCAGACATGTATATACAGGATTGCGAACAACATATACATGTACTACCAGCTGACACATTTTCCTGCTTACTGCAGCATGACAGTGCTAAACCACAGACTGCAAACCTTACAACATGGCTTTTAGTAGATAAGTCTGGCTGCTGAACTAGACTGCCTAAAGCTCAGAGCTCTCACAAATTGAAACGTTTGATGCGTCATGAAACAAAATATCCAACAAAGATCCAGAACTGTTGAACAGCTAGAATCTTACACCATACAAGAATGAGACAACATTCTCCTCCTGCAGCCGGTCTCCACAGCTCCTAGTTTACAGACTGTTGTTAAAATAGAGGGGCTGCGTCACAGTGGTGAATCATCTCTATTTATGAGATGTTTGGTGCCATAAAATTCAAAATTATTATTATTTTTTGTTTGTTTTCACCAAAAATGATGCACAGTTTTAAACATTTGACGTGTTTACTTTGTTCTATTGGGAGTAAAATGTGGGCTTAGAGATTTGCAACTAGTTGCTTTCCTGTTTATATTTTACACAACGTCCAAACTGTTTTGGAGCCGGAGTTTTAATCAAAGTAAATGGAGAGAAAGAATAAACCACATACTGGCCTCTTCCTCCTGTTGTGCTCATCTAAGACTTGTCGTATTTCTAGAACGGCCTCCTGGTTAAACGCATTTCCTAACGATCTGAAATGAGAGCGTTATTTAAATTTCAACTTTAATTCTCCCCATCATTTAATATGTGCACAGGCTGAGTTATAAGGTGAAATTAGGCTGAAAACTACCTGTGGGCGTCCGCTCTCGAGTACATCTCGTCCGACACATGACACCAGGCCCTGTAGGTGGAGCTGAGAGGGGAGCCAGCATGAAAAGGTTAAAGCTGTGGGCTCATTAGCTTGACACCTGCTTGTGTTTTGATCATGCTATTTCCCATGACACCATTATTGCTGTGCACCACGTGGTACTCTGTCCTCGTGGGAGAGGTCATGTTAAACACAAAGCACAGAGGAGGCAGAGATAATTAAAAATTCAACACCGTGTCTCTTACTTTCTCGACATTCCCTGACAGGCTCTGATCATTCTGCCCGCCAGTTTTTGCAGGCCTTTGGAGTACGAGAGTTCCAGCTCAGCTCTAAAACAGGAAAAAATTGGCGTAAAAGTTGATAACTGCTTTGGGGAAGAAAAAAAAAGTTCTGTAGTCATTTAAAATAATTTCTAAATCTAAAAATTTAGAAAATTTACCTTTGCTGAAAAACTGTAATGAGTTCTTTGAAGAAGTAGTCTCCGTTTTTGGAAAATTGCTTCAGATTTTGATAGAGTTGGTTGTACTGAAAGACAAGTCACTGAGGTTATATCATTGGGTAATAAGTTACCTCAAACAATTTTGATCCAGACATTAGTTAGTTGTGTGATCTAACAAAGACAAATTCCTTTTTATGTTTGACTACAGTATACTTTAAACTAAACATTGCTCATTTATTTATGTATATATTCTTTTTTTTTTAAAGAAAGAAATACTCACAGAGCAGGTGCTGCATGGGTCCTTCATCTTAAGACTTTGGCTGTTCATTGACTCTGAATCTGGAACTTTGACCGTTCTCCTCCCAAAGTCTCTCATGCGGAAGTCACTCGAGCTCTTGTTGGCGGGCAATACAAAGGAAAATTCCACCAACAGAAACAAACCCACACCTTCAAATGTAAACTGAAGGTGGATGACAAATCAGTTTACAACAGAAACAATGGGAGGGAATAATGAAGGCAGAAAAAAACGTCTCTTTGGGCCAGCCGAGAACCAAAACAATCTAAATATAAACTGGAGGCTGATTTTTAACACATCATTTTTTACATAGCCATAAAAGATAACTAACCTATAAATGTAAACTTGTCAGAGTCAGAGGTTCTTTATTTGTCATTCGCACCACATGTGGTACATGTGGTGGAACGAGATTGTGTACACAGGGTCCCAGCTATATCCAACAATGTAAAAAAAAAAAACAGTAATAAGATCAAAGATATGAACTAAGAAAAACATCAATTAAAAATACGCTAAGCACTAATAGCATAAAAACAATATGCCGAACAGAAGCACGAACATGAGTCTGTGTGAGCAGACGAGCACGAATGAACTCAGCAACATGAAACAGATCAGCAGCAACATGAAACAGATCAGCAGCAACATGAAACAGATCAGCAGCAACATGAAACAGATCAGCAGCAACATGATGTCATTTTTTGCATGGTGATTATCCTGGTTAGATTCATGAGTCTAACAGCCTCAGGGTAGAAGCTGTTCCTCAGTCTAGTGGTTCTACACTTAATACTCTTTAACCTCCTTCCTGAGAGGAGCAGGGCAAAATGTGTGTGTGCTGGGTGAGTGGGGTCCTTCATGATGCAAGTGGCCCTCTTCCTGCATCTAGAGGTGTAGATGTCTGTGATGGTGGGGAGGCTGACTCCAACAGTCTTCTGTGCAGCCTTCACCACTCTCTGCAAAGCTTTTCTTTCTGCAGCTGTGCAGCCTCCATGCCACACGTTGATGCTGGAGCACAGGATACTCTCCACTGCACACCTGTAGAAGGAGGTGAGGACTGAGCTTCCCAGTCCAGCTCGTCTCAGCCGCCTGAGGATGTAGAGTCTCTGATGAGCTTTCTTGATTGTGTTCTTATATAATGAGTTAGAGGCATTTTTGCGTTTTCTAAAATCATCTGTGGTGGCCATAACGGGATTGACTTCAAAAGTTGAACAATTAAAGATATACTCACAATGAATGTTTTCTGAAAGTTTCATTAAAATCCTTCCAGTGGTTTGTGAGATGTTTTGCTAACATACAAAGATAACTGAACAAATTATAGTAAAATTTAAGACTAAAATCCTGATCGATCTGTAGGCGATTAAAATATATGCTGGGGGTGACCCTCAGCTACCATCACAATGTATTTTGCTTCAATATCTGTAAAAATGACGGAGTTATTGCCAATTTTGAGCGTTTTTTTCCCCAGGTCGATTAGCTGTGGCAGCCATCTTGAATCAAATTGAATCCAAATGTTAAACATTCATAGATGCACACCCATTGATTATATTCTGAGCGTTTCTAAAATTTGTTTTGCTCTGGCTTCTACGTTAGGTGATCACGGACTTCTTAAACAATGTTAATAATTCTCTCTCTTTCCACCACAAATTCAACACAAACAAATTTGCTGTCATCTTTTTTTAATTGAAGTATCCAAACTCATATCTACCCCATTAGAGGATAAATTGCCTTTGATTTAATAATCACCAGAAATGTATCAGAATACCTAACAAAATGATGCAATAAGGAATACAGCATCTAGCCATATCTGATGCACACGCGCACACACACACACACAGCCCCCACACACACACCACACGCATACATACGTACTTTTATTGACATCTCATATACAGTTTTAGTGGAGAGGGTTTGCATTTCCAGATGTGTGTAAACTTCACATTAACATCCATTTTGTGAGCGACAACAATCTCACTGTTTTGGCAAATCTTTGGGGGAGCAGCGACAAAAGTGAATCTACAACTCAATATACTACGCTTTATGTGAAAACGCAAAACACAGCTGTGTCGTTTAGGATTATGACACTGACAAAAGAAAAAGAAATGCCTGACTACAGTCTGTAAACATCTCAGTGCAAATTAAATAACTCAGAAAGTCATAAACGTAATAGAATACACCCCCCGCAGGATGCCAAGCTGCTGTAGGTTCATAAAGCATGCTTAAATTATAGCGTGAAATGTCTTTCATTGGCTAAACAGAGTGAGTTGTACTAAAAAAAAAACTGCTTAGATTTCGTTAATGAGTGTTGTTGACGCAAACGTTTATAGTGTGTGTAACAAAATTTGTATAAAGAACCAAAAATAAAATGCGGTCACATAAATCTATCAAGAACTTACAGATGATGATGAGGGGATGCTGTTCGTGTCGTCACCTTACACTTAAAGTCACGCACGCATACACGCTCTCTCACACACGCACAGATGAAAAGTGTCTGTGGCATGGCTCCATTTGAGCAGCATCAGTCAGTGTTCGTCGAGATACGACGCTCCCGTCAGGTAACCGTTGGTTCCATTTTTGTTGGTTCCGTTGGAGTTGCTGTGGTGCTTCTGACTGGGCGGGGGGCTTTCATCCTCGTCAGAGCTGCACTCGATGTCGCTGCGGTCGTCTTTAGACACCTGCAGGAACAAAAAGGGCTTTTGGAGGTTTCATTTGCTTTAATGAACTTTTTCTACAAATGCAATTTGCAACATTAAAGCCAGATGTGTTCTGTCTGCCAACACCATGTAAAAAGCTCTAAAATGTTTGTTATCATGTCTTTATAATCACCTATTTATTGACATATCATTTTATAAATTCTTAAACGTTAATGACAGAATTATTAATCTTCATTGCCATCTGACAAGGTGACAGGGTTAGGAAATAAATGTACAAAACAAACTTTAGTAGTCTGAGACTTATTTGAGTCAAGTTTTGAAAGTGATGATGGTGCGGGACCAAACACAGACTCATGTTCGTGCTGCTGTTCGACATATTGTTTTAATGCTACTAGTGCTGAGTGTATTTTTAGTCAACATTTATCTTAGTTCATATTTAAGTCTTATTACTGTTTTTTTCTTTTACATTTTAATCTCTTTGTTGGATGTAACTGGGACCCTGTGTACACAATTTCATTCCACCACATGTACCACATGAGGTGCGTATGACAAATAAAGATCCTTGAATACAAGGAGTCAGGAGGTGGGAGCAAAAACTTATATTTTTAAGTAAAACTGAGGCATGGGAAGTCAAAAGGAAAAATCAAAGCAAAACCAAGTAGCATGATACAAGTAAAAAAGAGAAAACCAAGGAAACGGGGGAGCTAATGAGGAATATGCAGTGTAGTGAGATGTGTGGACGCAGGACTGGGATAACTGATTACATCTAGAGTTAATGACAATATAAGCAAAAAAAAAAACTATATGAAAAAATTTGGTCCAGATGACACGATTGAACCTTTATTGTTACCTACCTTTGTTACCGACTGAGCTTGCAAACGTTTATTTTATTTTTTTGCATTTCTTGATGGAATGAACTATGCACACTACACTGCATGCCAAAGTTTTAGACAAGGATGATCTGCTAATACTCAGAGTATGCGTTAAGGATGTCACTCAGCTCACTTCACACCACTCAGTGTCTATAAAACTGATTGAATTGTATCTGCCTTTGTGTTTGCCTAAGCTTGATAAGCAGTGGCAGCCATGTTAATTCTGGTTCACTTCTAAAGTTAATCAGTTGTAGATGTGCACTTGGTGATCAGTTCCGGAGTTTAATTAAAATCCATTCATTAGTTCATGAGATAATTTGTTAACAAACAGACAAACATGCTATAAAATGATTGCCTTTTTTATAGTGCTGGGCAAAATTAAGGAGATCAAAACAGCTCAATCACCAGTCTTACTTATGACTTCTGTTAGGTTTCAGATGTATTGTTGCAAAGCAACTCCATTTTAGTTAAAGTGGTGAGTTCACACTTATAAGTCATGTAAGCAAGTCTTGGAAGACTTCATTGGGCGTCCTAAACTAATGGTTGAAATGGGAGAAACCTAGTTGGATACTCAATAACCTGATTGGTTCTGGGTTTGTTGGTGATAGTGTTAAAAAAAATAATCCATTAAATCTGCTATGCCATTTTGTCTGTGCATTTTCCAAAAATTTTCTGAGCTTCACAAATGTTTTTGTGTAGCTAAAAGCTGGACATGTCAGGTTAGGTCCAGGTATATGACAGAGACGAAAATATTTAGAAGATGCTAAATACTGAACAATAAACTGCATCTTTTCCCCAGAGAATATTTTGAGTTTGGTTTAATCAAACGTACTGAAGGGGAAAATGATTACACAGCGCAGAACTTTTGGAGATATGAGGGAAAAGTGAATTTACTGTATTTTTCGGACTATAAGGCACACTTAAAATCTTTAATTTTCTCAAAAATCGACATTGAGCCTTATACTCAGATGTGCCTTATGTATTAATTCTGGTTGTGCTTACTGACCTTGAACCGATTTTATGTGGTTATTGTGAATGAGTTGAATAAAGTTTGACTTATCTGACTGTTTTGTTTCATGTAATGCACCTTATAATCTGTTGTGCCTCATGAATGAAAACAGACATGTTCAGTGATATTACGTCTTATAATCCAGTGCGCCTTATAGTCCAAAAACACAGTAATAAACAAACTGGATTGCTTTCTTTCACCCTTTAAAGCTACTCACATGTAAAGGATTCCATTTTCCCACCTTCAAGTTTGCAGGTCGTCAAAGAAAAGAAAACATATATATTTGTCATTGAGCAAAATCTAAAAACCACAGCCACAGTTCAGCTTTGCAATAGATATGCAACATAAATGACAGAAACATTCAAATAAATACTTCACTTTTCTAACAGCAAAAGTGAAAAAGGTTAATTTTGGAACACTGTACAGTGGAACAACAGATATAAATGGATAAATAAAGTTGAGGAGGTGCTGATTGTGGTAACTCACTTTTCCTTTGGAGATGGCTCTGCATGCAGTCTTCACTATGAGGTAGGACCAGAACGAGTGCAGAAGCTGCAGCAGAAGTAGAAGAAGGTTGAAGACCCACCAGGACGGGTAGGGGCCAACAATCTCCCAACTCTCGAACAAAGTGGTGTTTAAAATCCTTCCATAAAAACCAGCAAGACGGTGAAAGTTAACATATTTATTTGAAACACCAACAAGTTAAATTACTTAGATCTGTCGCAGATCTGGGCTCTAATCCAGTTTGCACACTTTAAATATTATTTAAACTTTTATTTTTGTGTTTGCAGCAAGAACAAGTGTCTTGCTAATTTCAGCTTTAGGCTACAGTTTTACTAGATGTAGCTTCTAGCTATGACTTCACTAAAGTTAGCTTGTAACAAGTATTGGAAGCTTTTAGATAGTGGTTTGAGCTTTTTGTTATTGTTTTTGTGGATTTCAGTTTCTGTTCTGCTCGTTTTAATTTGAACAATTCACTCAATCTTTTCTGAACAGATTTCAGCACTCAGCATCACAGAAACTTCAATTATGCTAAATGTAATACGTGAATGCAATAAATCTGCAGTAAATGAAATCAAAACTAATGACGGAGAGGAAATAATCTATTGTATGTTGAGAAAAGATAACTTTTTAATGATTTATGGTCAATTATTCTCTGATCGGCTGTTGTTGAGCCATCCTCCAGTGAAGCCATGGTAACAGCTTTACAGTATTATCTCCTATACAAACAGTGTGGTGGAGGTCATCTGACATTTAGTGCAAGATCATCATGCAACAGAGTAGACTCAAAGGCAGATGACTAACGGCTGCAGGCTGAAAGACGTAAAACTAGAGTGCGCTAAGAAATAAATCCTTTCTTGCAAATAATTTCTTAAACATAAAAGCACCTTTTCATAGTAGCTCCTTTTGGGTTGATTAACTAAAAATGTCCTAAGAAAAAGCAGAAAAATTGCAGATGCCTGATTCAGGGTCTAAACGATGTCTCCCTTCACCAGTGAAAGCTGTGCACGTTGCTGCTGATGGTGCAGGCTACATGTGCATGCTTTCGAGAACTAAAACTGCATTTATGTTCTGCAATTATCCATCAGAGTGGCCAATTTTAAATAGCATTTTAAAATTACCGTCATAAAACTTTTAATTGTTTTATTCTGGTACAGAAATAATTATGGATTAACCTCAAGTAAAACTGTGAACATATTCAAAGGGTAAACCGCACCCTCAAAACAACACCACAAAATAATAAAGGAGCTTCATAAAATAAAATGAAAACACAAGTACTGTTTTAGTTCAGTGGCAGACCACAATGATTTGCTTTTCACAAGCTGAATTGTTAGCTTTCTTTGAGACGTTAAAGATGTATCCATAGTAACTATTACTTAGCAACAAAATTCACAGAGCTCTGTCTAAAGTGCAAACTATTGTGGAGAAAGAAAAAAGAAAGGCAGGCAAAAAGCAGATCTCGACGGCATTGACATGTATTTTCAAACACGAGCTGCTAAAAATGTGCTGAGAAACCCAGGCATGTGCTGAGCGGGATTTGAACCCCCCTGCGATGTATGCGACTGCCTAACATTACAGAACTGTAGGAAAGTCAATAACACTTACCAGACGGGGTAAACTCCCAGCCTGGAACTTATGAAGAGAATTGCAAACATGGCAAACAGGAGGTTGCACAGTATCTGACACTTGGCGTAGTTGGCCATCTTGGCAGCCTGGGTTTCAAAAATAAAAACAATGGAAATATCAAAGAAATATAGGAACTAGAAAATAACAGTTTCAAGCCTGGCAGCTGTAAAGATTAAATGAAGTTCAGACGGTGCATAGATGGCTCTATCTCTGTGCCAAATCTGTAGTTTGGATAGTAATTAAAATGTACGTCTTGTGGACGGTGTGGAAAAACATTGGCAATCACAGCTCAAGGAGACGACAAGGATAGTAATCTGACAGAGAACAAAGAAAAGCAGAGTTTTTAATCTGAGCAGGGATTCTGATTCCAATAAATTTGTACGAGGTGTTTATGAAGAGCAGAAAGCAAGAAAAACTAAGGAAACATACAGAGGGACTACAGTAGAAGATGACTGATGAGGGCTTTACAAAGGCTGATGCTGATTTTTAGATTGTCAAATAATAATAATAATAATAATTATTATTATTATTATCATCATTTTTATAATATGAGAATAATAATGATTATGATAATAATAATATAATAATGATGTTATTATTATTATATAATCTTATGGAGGTTACAGGCTAACTTTAATGCACTTTACAGTCTACTAGTATTTAAAAAAATGCTTATAACTTGGTCATTTAATCCAGCTACGTTATGGATTAACTTTCCTTGAGTTTATAAAAAAAAAAAAACTTTCTATAAATGCTGTTCCAAGCATAAAGTTATCTTTTTTTCTCCTAAAAACAACATTTCCAGTTCAACAAATTTAATTGCTAAGGTTTTCATATATATATATATATAAAAAATAATATATTACCCTTTTTCACTGGTAAATACAACAATGTCCCTTCAAAAAAAAGTACACAATATTCCAGTCAATTTCTTGTTGGGTCTGCCAGTGTTGTACTAAAAAAAGCACCCCTGCAGGAATTGCACTAACAAAAGGGTGTAGTTTCAAGTGGAACAACACTGAGCTGCCCACAAATGTGCCAACATTTTAATCGTCTTAGTATGATCAAGAAGATTATTGAAAAAAAGATAAAACTTTGTATAATTAATCCACTGAATAATCAAACATTCTACCTCTTGATCACAACAGTCATTTCTTCAACTGTCTTGATTTTCAGCAGTATAACTTAATACCAGTGAGCCACTAACTTTAGCAATCTGATAAATATGCTAGAACAGAAGCTGCACTAACAGAGAGCTTTGTGTTGTGGGCTGCACCTCCTGCACAACAAAAAAAAGATTCACTATATAAACGATAAACAAAGACGATCTTTTAATTAAGACGAGAGGAGAGGATGTTAACTATGACTGCTCAACCCACACGCACACACTTTCAGAAGCGCATCAATCCATCTGCAGCATTTCATTGTCTTGCCGGTCTCTTACCTCTATCAGCACATCGGCTGCGTCGTGTAGACACATGACCAGAGTTCCCACTCGTGCCATGTTGTTCACGTAGGAAAATATGATGAGCGAGATGGTGACCACATGGTGCACGAACATGATCAGAAAATCCTGGAAGACACAGTTACCATAAATCAATCAGACAACGATAGAAAATGTGTTTAAAACCATTAAAGTACACAGCATTTACTGTGACGTACAAATAAAAAGGACAAATACATTTGCGTTTGGAAATGACCAAAGTTTATGTAAATAACTGCATAATGCAAAATTGATGGTGGTGTAAAGGTTTATAATATTTTGGGGACTTCGACTGTTTAAAAATGCCCTGCAGTGTACTTTGATCCTGGTCGGGCGCAGACTAGCTGTTAGAAAATCAATCCGGACAGCGTTAAACTTTAGCCATCTAAAACAGGTAAGATATTGATTAGTAATTAATAATTTTTCACAGAACCTCTTGAAACAATTTGAAATTACTTTTTTTTTTTGGTTAAACTACACTGTTTCACATAAATTACAACAATCACCAAGTAACTGATTAAAATATATAACAATTAGGCTGTAGTCCCATCTTGGTTCAGATTTTGGATAGCTTTGTACTGAGCTCCATGTGCAAGAAAAAGACAAAGTGAACCAAGCAAGCCTTCCACTAGTAGGGAGAAGTTTCTGTGTGGTGGCTCAGAGCACCAAGAACCAGTTCAACACGGCAGCTGAGTACGATAAGAGGGTGGATGGAGAGGAAGAGCAATGGCAGAGTGAAAAACGAGGCAAGAATGTGCAGGGAGGAACATACTGGAACTGGCAGGGGATGGCAGAGGACCTCCTCAGTGTAGAGCTGTGCATGAAAAAAACTGAAAGGAGAAACAAACAAACAAAAAACAGACAACATGCCAACAGTCAACAGAGAGATGATAGAGTGAAGGTGTACAGTGTGGCATCATGGAGCCTGCTCTGGGTGCAGTGTGTGTGTGTGTGTGTGTGTGTGTGTGTGTGTGTGTGTGTGTGTGGTGGGGAGGATGGAGCTGGGGTGGACTAGATGTAGCTGTATGAGCATTGCATGCAGAGGTGAACAAAAACATGGTCATTTTCAATGAAAACAAAAAGTGGGATGAAGTTGGTTCAGGACATTACAAACAACTGTATGAATGTGATATGAAGTGAGACCTTTCAAATTGTTGGCTACAAAATAAATAAATAAATAAATAAGCTATGTAACATAGCTAATTTTTGTCTCTTTTATAAAAATATAAATTGAAATATTTCAAGTTAGGGATGTGATGTTAGCTAAATACTACCAAAGTCGCATGCAATCAATATTTCTGATATGTTGTGTGTTAGAAATGGATTATTTTCAAGCATTCTGTATGAATGTTAACCATTAATGAGCTTTCACTATTTAAGATTATTGCAATGAGTAATAGCAGAAAAAATACAAGTGCACTTAATAAGTTAAAACAAAACAATTATATTAGCTGAGCTGACTTTAGGGTGTGCAACCTGGCCTATTTCTGAGACACTTTATGGAACTCAGACTTTGTTATCAAAATGTGTTTAATCTCAACTCCTACAGTTATTTTATATCAGAATGTTGTGCCTGTTTCTGAGAGTAATAACATGTCTGACATTATTATTTGTAATCAACTAACTGAAAGCTAAGAAATGATGTTTGGTGTCCCTGGGTGAAAATGACAACAGAGCCATGATATTATAATTCAAGCATTTGCACTTTATACATTAGAACATATCAGAAAACAGCTGAGTAGATAAAACAAAAGAAAATATTAAGAACATTTTATAGGGTTTGAATGGGATTTCTGAATCTTCTGAATAAAAACTCTAAACCAAACACACTAAACTTGAGTCTTAGTCTCTGAAAATAAAAACAATCAGAAAAGACTGGTAATGATTGTGATAAAAGTGTCCTTTCTACAACAGTTCTTCTTACAGTGGTTTAAATGTGTGACTGTAATTTGTACATTTTAAGACACTTACCTTCCTCCTGATGTCTGTGAATCGGGAAAAGAGTAATGACAGGTAGAAAGACAGCTCCAGTATGTAGTAATAATGGATGTCCACAGTCAGCGGCTGCACACACACGCACATACACACACGGCAACACTTTAAGAAATATTTTATTGACCAACTGTGGTAATGTTCCAAGAGCATGATGTAAACTTTTACCTGGTAAGGGTAGTTGTACCAGCACTCTTTAGTGTTCCACAACCAGGGCATCTGCAAACAATTAGGAGGCAAGAAAATGAATATTATTAATGCTGAGTAAAGTTAAATTGAAGCTAAATAAAGAGGGAAAAGTTTATAGTGCATTGAGTGCTTCATTACGTTGCATGTCCTGCTAGAAAAATAAGCTAAATAAGTGATACGCTGGTATCCCCATCACTGAAGGGACTGAATAGTTAATGTTTGTATTTTTTGAGATGAGTGTTTTTTGGGCTGGAATTGAACAGGAAATGCAAATAAACCTTTTAATGTTTTTGGTGCCAGATATTCAAGTGGGTAGAAGTTACATTGTGCATAAGAACAGAGGTAGGTTTGATTTTTGCTTGAATGATGCTAGTCGAGGGAGCAACTTTATCCACCACCAAGTGCAATAGTAGAGCCAGTTGGTGGCCAATGGTGGCCTTGGCTGCCATAGACTCATTTTCCGCCAACCCAATCGTTTGGGTAAACCATGCTACGTAGTGGTTCATTTATCACAGATTCGCTCTATCACAGTTTTTCAAAATAAGATTGGACATGACACACAACTGGCTGACTGATGGATGAGCCTCAAGAGTGGCATGAATTTTTTTTTATTTAAAATATATTATTTAAAATTATTTAGCACCTGCTGCACATTTGTGCAGCCCAGAGCTGCAGAAAAAGCTTCCTCCTGCAGCTTTGAGCAGCCCTTACTGCAGCTGATCAGATGTTCTCCTTGCAGAGCGGAGAAGTGGGCGTGGCCATGAGCGCTTGCAGGTGGCAAAGAGCAGAGGAGGAAAGGAGCTGAAATCATGACAAATTTGTGTTCTTTTAGAGCATTTAGAGTTTAGAAACATTGTTTAGAATATTGCAAGAGCGTGGGAAGGGTTTAAAATGCCTTAATATATACTGTATATACTGTATATATATATATATATATATATATATA